CCCCAAAACCCCAAAACCCCAAAACCCCGCTAGTGTTTTTTATTACAGATATAAAGATTAGAATGAATGCCAAAATGCTTAAGAGCAAAATTATTATATATAATCAATCCCACTTCTTTCAGTTTATTCCAGTGGCGAATAGGAAATGCTAAATTAATGGCATTACCTTAATTTGACTTAAATCTACAAATAGCTCTTCAAATTCTTCTTAATTGTTGCAGTTTAAGATGAGATTCGCTCTGAATACAAATATAGCAGCTGATAAAATAGGTAATATCTCCAAGCTTTCAAATCCGAGTATTCTGTCCCAAACCAAGTATATCTATAAAAATAATTACTCGCTAATTTTATCAATCTTACTTGATCAACTTCTAAATAGCCAACGAAAGCATAGAATATCCATGGGAAAGCAATTTTAAGAGGTTGAATGCCTAACTAATTAAGATGGTAGCACACTTCAGGTTCAAACATTTGTAGCAAATCTTCAAACAACTTGCATAAGCTTATAATTGATTAGTTATGACTAGAGATTGTATTAAGATAGCAGAAGTATTTGCAATACAAAGCTCTAAATATGTAATAGCACTCCTCTTTCTTATCAGATATGTAGCTCAACGGTCCAAAGTAAGAACTGAACTTAAGACATGGCAGTACTCCACAAGGTGGGTAAGCTCCTACTATCCTATCTGTGCCTGCAATACCTACAACTGGAGCATGTGGCTTACTCTTGATGTTCTCAAGTACTTATCTGTCTCTGAAGAACATCACAACGCAAGCCTCGATCATATCTTAGAAAATGAAATACTTGTCATCATTACAAAACTCCAAAATATCTGCGAATATCAAATCATCTAAGGCTGTTTCCCATTTATTTGCTTATTCACACAACTGATTATAATAATCCACTTCTTTTTAAGTAACATCTGCATATAATATTTTCCTATATATTCTATTTCTTAGAGTGGGTGGCACACCTCTCTTTGCATATTGCACTAAGAATGGTTAATAGTCTTTTGAAAGTAGCCTTTCTCCAATTAGAATCCTTTCATCTACGAATGATTTTTCCTCATCAACACCTATTTATCTCAGAGTCACATTCAATTCGTTATATTTTTTTCTAAGTTCATCTAATGATCTGGTTTGCAATTGTAACTTTATCTAACCCCAAGAGAGCATAAGGTTGCCAGCAAAGTTTATAGTATTAATTTTAAGAATAGCATCCATCAGCATGTTAGAATCGAATATAAATGGAAGGTCTTGCCCTAGGAATGCGCTTTCTTTCACCTCTTTTTATTATTAAGAAGCAGCGGGAGTTGTGGTCATTGGTGTTTGTCCATCACTATCCCCTTCGACTGAGTTATTCTAGACTTCAACCTCCTTTGGCTTGACTGGTGGTTTTTCTTTCTTAGGTCTAACAAAAGGCTTTCTGCTCTACCTAAGAATTGAGTTAAGCTTTTACTTGAGTGTTTCACTCCAAGCTCTCTTAGCAGTAGCAACACTCTCTAATGGCTCGTAATCCTTATCGAAGAAATACTGGGGTAAACTATTAATATCCTTGCAATTTTTGAATTTAGTAATAGCTACTTGAGCAGAATCTCTGAAATATCCATTTTTATCAAGAATTTCATGTACTTTATTCTTGATCTTGGTCTCTAAATTCAAATCAGAAAGGAGTTTTGGGATAATTTCTGCAATATCAACTGTCTTGCCCTTAGATTTAACAATCTCATCCTTGATGGCCTTCTTAATCTGCCAGAATATGTAGGAATTCTTGATATCCTTGAAGATGAGCTCACTTTTTTCTTAGTGACCTAAAGACATGTAAGATCCGCCTGCACCAACATATTCATCAAAACTATCGTTCATTTTATAACTTTTGAATTTAATATTTCTAGTTTTAAATTCATTTAGTATCCTTTACTCTTTCTTATGGGGTTTTGGGGTTTTGGGGTTTTGGGG